TGTGTTATGTGACTAATGTCACTCCTCATAAGGATAAGTTTTCTCCAAGAGCTTTCAAAGGCATATTTATTGGCTATCTAGTTGGCCAAAAGCTTATAAAATTTACAGTCTTGATGATCATCAAGTTCATATAGCCAGAGATGTTGTTTTCAAGGAACATATCTTCCCTTACAAGGTTTCTTCTACACCTCAACAATCCATTCCGGTTCCTATTGTTCAACTTGATGATCTGAATATCTCTTATCCTGATCTTCTGCCTTCCGTTTCTCAACCTGAATCTCATAATCATTCTGATCAATCTACTTCCACTGTTCCTCTCATCAGAACAAGCTCTAGGATTAAGAGAAAACCTTACTGGATGGATGTATATACAACATCTGCTATTTTTGCTCCTACAACTCTTTCCACAATTTCTTCATCTACTAATTTCATACCTACTTCTAAATTCATTCCACCTACCACTTTTCCTTTTATTCAACAACCATATCTACATCCTTTCTATTTGTCCTTTCTTTCTACTATTTCCAAAGTCCAGGAACCATCTTCATATGAACAGGCTAGTCAGCTTCCTGAGTGGGTTGAAGCTATGCAGAAGGAGCTGGATGCCTTAGATCTTAATCACACTTGGGACTTGACCACTCTGCCACCTCACAAGAAAGCTATAGGTTGCACGTGGGTTTACAAAACCAAGTATCTTCCAGATGGTTCAGTTGATAAGTGTAAAGCCAGGTTGGTGGCAAAGGGTTTTAATCAGATAGCAGGTCAAGATTTCTATGACTCTTTTTCCCTTGTGGCCAAGCTTGTTACTGTTAGAGTTGTTATTGCTCTTTCTGCTGCAAAACAGTGGCCACTACACCAACTGGACATCAATAATGCATTCCTCCATGGTTATTTAGATGAGGAGGTATATATGCAAGTTCCTCCTGGTTACTTCTCAGCTCAATAGGGTCAGGTTTGCCGGCTCAACAGATCTTTATATGGTTTAAAACAGGCGTCTAGACAGTGGAATCAAGAGCTTTCAAGACAGCTCACCTCTTTTGGTTTTGTTCAGTCTCAACATGATCATTGCTTGTTTATAAAGCATGCTGGTTCAGATATTCTGATTCTGTTGGTATATGTGGATGATGTCCTTCTTACAGGTTCCTCCTTGTCTATGATCAATGATACTAAAAGGTTTGTGGATGTTGCTTTTACTATCAAAGACCTGGGAAGTGCTAAATACTTCCTTGGTGTTGAACTCACAAGATCATCAGAAGGCATTTCCTTAAATCAAAGGAAATATGCGCTTGATATCATTGACAGTGTTGGTCTTCTTGGCAGCAAAACAGTCTCTACTCCTCTACCTAAAGGACTCAATCTTCAAGATGACAAGATTCCATTACTTGCTTCACCAGAACAGTACAGAAGATTGGTGGGAAGGCTTCTTTGTCTTGGTTTTACCAGGCCTGACTTGGCTTATTGCACTCAACAACTGAGTCAGTTTGTTCATTCCCCCAGAGATGTTCATTGGCAGGCTGCTCTACATACTGTTAGGTATCTCAAGGGCTCCCCTTCTCTTGCCTTGTTCTATTCAGCCTCAGATGCTCTCAATCTTTCTGCCTTTTCAGATGCAGATTGGGCCACTTGCACTGAAACCAGGTTCTCTTTAACAGGCTTCTGTATATTCCTTGGTTCTTCTCTTGTTTCCTGGAAAACCAAGAAGCAGACTACTGTTTCTCGTTCTACTTGTGAAGCTGAGTATAGGAGTATGGCATCCACAGTTTGTGAACTCCAATGGCTTTACTGTATTCTGTCTGATCTACACTTACCTCCTTCTCTTCCCATTCCTTTTGCTTTTGATAATCAAGCAGCTATTCACATCACAGAAAACTCCACTTTTCATGAACGTTCCAAGCACCTTGATATTGATTGTCATGTGGTGCGCAATCAGTACAAAAGAGGGTTCATTTAGCCTGTCTACATCAGTAGTAAACTTCAGCCAGCAGACCTCTTCACAAAATCTCTCCATTTTCCCCAACTTTCTTTATTACTTTCCAAGCTTAGTTTGGGTGATGTTCATCGAACCCAGCCTAAGCTTGAGGGGGAGATTTCAGATATCAAACTCCATTTCCAGCAAGTGCTACGTGAAGAACAACAGCACTGTGATTCAAGCTTAGAAGATGAAGACATTTATGATCAGATCATGACTCGAGTTCTTGGATTGTCATAGTATTGTGCATAATTCAGATTAGTTGTATATTTGTGAATACAGTTAGAATGATGTACATAATCTAGCTGTATAGATTAGATGAGTAAATTACTAGTTTAGTCCTCATTATACCTTAGCTAGATTAGTATAAATGTGATGCACAGACACATTAAACTCACTTTTTTTCTTCCCAATTTTAATACATCATAATTAAAAGCAGAATCTAGGTTTTTCCCTGTCAACCGCCATGATCAACTTGATGAGTTTTCAGGATCACATAGGTTCTGCTAATTAATCATGTATGATGAAAATGACCCAGCCACATAGTTTCCGGTAATAGATTTGATGGAGGAGCATTATTATTATTCAAGTATTAATGAATAAAGTATTCAACGTTGATTGAGCAACATCCACATAATCCCCTCTATAAACCACAAAGTATTCATCATTTGCAATCAAGAAAAATTTTTGGGCAACAAAGATTGCTAGTACCATATCTTAATAACATTTGTTGGATCGAATAATAAAGCAGCAATCATATAGGATGATTAGTTAGAACAATAATGGAATTTCCCCTTTCAGTCTGAATCCCGTATTGATTTTTTTTGTTTTTCGTTTTTTGTTTCTTCCCTCTGCGGCTCTGAATCTCCAGGAAACTAAATTTTATTTTCTACATTTTATGAGTTTATAAAGGGTATTTAAAAATAAGGCAATTATGTAATACTAACATTATATTAATTTTGTGATTTTTAACAAATAAATTACTACCCTTCATAGAAAATATTTTAAGGTCATACAACTTTTATTTATTTAACATGTTCTATGGCCCTTTAGGCAAATTTTCCCAAAAAAATTCGCCAATCATGTTGCCTAAAACGCGAGTTCTGTCAATGAATGATAGGGTTGAGATTTTTAGGGAATTTAGAAAAACAAAATGTAGCGGTCTAAGAAAAATTTTAGAAATACTAATAAATTTAAAGATTTTGTATTCCATTTGTCCAAAAAATTAAAAGTCCAGCATAAATCTAAAAATATATTACGGTTTTTATTTGCAAACATTTCCAGGGTATTTTGAAACAAGGTCTAGAATTATGTTGATCTCATGTAAGGTGCTTCATGAGGAGAAAGAAGTTTTATTTATGTTTGTTTGTTTATTTTTTTTTGGTAAACAGAAGAAAGAAGTCCTATTTCGATAAATATGAACGGAAAAAAATACCTCTCTGTGCCTCGACTGAATGAGATCGATCGATCGATTCAGAAAACAGAATTTATGCTCGAATCATCATCTTCCCGGACTTGTATTTGGGGGCTACAATTTAAAATCGGGTTACTGAATTTTTAATGATGTTAATTTTAACCGTTGCATTTTAATATTTTACTTTTATCAACTGTTAACACTTGAGATATCGAAAATTCTAAGTGCACTTTTCAATTAATTGTTGGGGTTGTGGAAGAACAAAACAAACCGAATATACAGGTCTTTCCTAAAAAGGTCTCTCTGCTCCTTATAATCTGTTTAACTTAATCTTCAACATTAAGGTTAATTTAATTTTCACTGTGGAAAACTAATGAAAAGGAATCGATGATCAATTAAGGAATTCCAATCTTAGGGCAGAAATTGGTGGTCAATTCGATTACGAATATGTTGAACCAATGGAAAGTGAAGGCGATGAAAATTCTTCAAAAAGGAAAGATGTAATATTTCACCCAAAGTTCTTAAAAAAAAAAATCAGGAAATTTTCTGTTCATCATCAAAACAAATATTGGTTTTGCAGATATTTTCCTTATTTAAATGCAACATCTGTTATTCGCCCTCTATATATGAATCAAGTTGTTCTCTTCTTCTTTTATCTGTCAATCTCTCCCTGATACAAATCGTTGTTCGTTGATGATTAGTTTTTTTGGGATTAAATCAGGTACTTCTCTTTTTTGTTGTTCTTTTAATGATTTTTTTTTGTCCCTTACAAAATATTTTTTTTTTTATATATAAATTTGAATTTTCGCCTTTGAATTTGATCATGGATCGAGGGAGGTTTTTGATATGAATCATGAAGCACAATACCCACACAATGATCGGGTTCAGTTTCATAACATTGAGTTTTATGATAAAAGAGTGCTACTACTGTTGCTTCTAGTCGGTCGAATTAAAACGAACAGTTTATGTTCAATTCGAAGTTATTGATGAACTATTGATGATTAGCTTATTTTGAAATTTGTTTTCTTTATTGTGATATATATACTCCTTCTGTTTCCTCTTATTCATAACGTACAAACTTGAATTAGACATAATTTTAATTTGTGCATGATCGATAGGACCCGAAGAGTATAAAATCTTTTTAGAATTTTTGTTTTTTTTTTTTCCCAGAAAACTCATGGGGATCACACATAAAAAGCCACTTATTGTTTTACAAAAAGTATTTTTAAAGATTTACTAGTAGACATATATAGGAGAGAAGCAATGGACAAAGTATTCCTATTTTTTTCAGGATAGTGGTCAACTTGTAGGGGCCAAGGAACTGTTTTCTTATTTTTTGACTGTATCATGTAGCGAGACTAGAAGAGGACATATAACGGATACACGCTGATGATCGCACTGAATAAATGTTTGGGTTTTTGGGGTATAAGTATGGTTTACAAAATCTTTATTTTTATGTTTTGTTATTTTTTATTCAGGCATTAACATGCAAAAATGATTAAACTTTTATTGAGAGAATTTTACCGGTGGAAAAGTTTAACCTTCAGTTCTTTGTATTTTCGAAAATTATTACATACATATACTCTCTCTATTGTTTCCCTTCACAGTTGTTTTTAGATGGAAGAAGAAAAGAGTGATACATCAATTGTTGTCACAAACAACGCCACCAACAAGGAAGTCTCCGATAGCAACAGCACAAGCCTCCATTTGATCACCAAGAAGCGCAAAAGAGCACCCGAAATCGGCACGACTTCTCCGCCAACAGCAAGATTCAAAGGCGTGGTTGTCCAATCCAACGGGCATTGGGGTGCACAGATCTATGCTCATGATAGGATATGGTTGGGAACCTTCAAATCCCAAGTAGAGGCAGCAATGGCGTACGATAGCGCCGCCATCAAACTTCGCAACGGAGACGCACAGCGGAATTTCCCGTGGACTAGCATCACGGTGGAAGAGCCAGGTTTCCAGAGCCAATTCAGTACGGTGCAAGTTTTGGCCATGATCAAGGACGGTTCTTACCCGGCCAAATTCGCCGAGTATTTGAGGAAAAACTCGAAAACCCTACAGCTCGTCCGGATTTCAGGAGGGCTAACTAGTCCTGATGATTTAGGGTTGGTGTCCAAGCTGTTGTTCCAGAAGGAGCTTACTCCTAGCGATGTCGGGAAGCTGAATCGCCTTGTCATCCCGAAAAGATTCGCGATGATGCATTTCCCTCAGATTTCGAGGGATGTGCTTGAGAAGGAGCGCAATGGTATGGTGGATGACACGGAAATGGAGTTTTTTGATAGGTCAATGAAGTCATGGAAGTTTAGGTATTGTTATTGGAAGAGTAGCCAAAGTTTTGTATTTACAAGGGGATGGAATAGGTTTGTTAGGGATAAGGGTTTAAGAGCAAATGACAGGGTAGTTTTCTTACATGGCGAGTATAAAGACGGTAATTCAAATGAGATGAAGTCCATATTCATGATTGATGCTGGATATCATGATGACGATGGTGATCAACATGATGATATTGGGGCCGATTCGGAGGCGAAATCAGTTGCCGGGTCGGAAGAAGATTCCAATCACCGTGATCATCTTCTTCTTCCTGAGTTGGAATTAGGTCTTGGTCCGGTGATTCCTAAGCAGGGTCTAAGACTCTTTGGTGTCCAAATCATTTGATAAGGGGCAACTACGATTTCGAGTCTATGGTAACCTTTTTTTTTTCACCGCTCCCGATGAAATTTGAATCATCGATCTAGTGGTGATTGTCTTATGATAGGTTGACTGGTTTTTGAGACTTTTTTTCCCCTATTGCACCGGCGAGATTAATTAGTTTGCTATAGATTTATGACATCTATATGATCTCACGGTTAGTGCCGGAAGTTAAGACACTTTATAAGGTAGTATTTCCGAGCTAATTGTTTTAGATGTTATGAAGATGATGAAGACCCTTTTGGGTATCAAAGTTGTCTTTTGTGTAACATGCATCATACACCTTTTTTCCGTTTTGAATATCTCAATAGTTTTGAATATGTTCAACATTCATGGTCGTTTAGATTGCATTTTCAAAATACCTTTGATCATTTTGTCGGCCTGGAGAGAATCAGAGTATAGCTACAATGTGTATTCATTCTTTTAAAAAGTAGAATTTTGCAGTATAATTAATTAAAAGTTCACAAGACTTTGGAGTTAAATACGTCCAATACATTTAGTTCTGTTATTCAAAAAAACATTTAATTGGAGATTAAATGTCCAAATTTTCTAGTACTATTCTCTCAACAGGTTACCACGCTACAAGAAAAGGAAGAGATAAGTGTGATGAAAATGTAGGTTTAATGAATTATGAACGCGATCATAGGACATAAAATTTTTTTTGTGACATTGCTTGAAATTGTAGATTTGATATTACCGCAATTATTAGTGTAAGGAAAACCAATCTCTTTTTTTTTTTTTTTGAAAACAAGAAAACCAATATCTTATTTTTCAATCTAGTAACTCTTTTTTTCCTTTTTTTTTTTTTAATTTATAACCCTATAACGTCCGAATATAGAGTAGAACGTCTATAAATTAAAAATGCTCGGACTTTGGACCATCATAATTTATTAATTTAGAGAATTATTAAATAATTTATAAATTCTTTAAATTATTATGAGAAAAAAAAACCGTCACTAAATTACTTAATTTGCAATTGTCTTTACATCCGAATCAAATAAGTAATAAAATTCTTCTGAATATTAAAATTTCCATGTATAATTCATATTATCTACATGACAAAAAAAAGTATCAATTAGTTCATATTTTACAAATATTTATAGTTATCATTATTTGTTTTTGCTTTTATGGTATTCATTAATTTATTTTATTGTTGGGACCTATAAATATATAAAAGATTGTTTGAAACATTATTATCTTATCTTATAATTTATCAATTTTTTTTGTTACTTTTTATTAGTACCAGAGAAAATTATTAACTGTCAGAAATTATTAATTTATACATTATTAATTTAGTGGTTTTACTGGATATTTAATTGACCCTTTACTATCTAGTTAGCCTTTTATTATTCTTTTCCAAAAAGAAAAAACCTCTTATTATTTAACATATTATTACCTATTAACTCTTTTACTGCGTAGTGTTAGGAAATCTGATTACTCACTTACTGTTTAATGATACTCGATAGTTCGAAGGAAACATGTATCAGGCGCACTTCAGAAGGAAAAAAAAATAATAAGAATCAAGTTTGATACCATCCCATTGTATACACTAAAAGTGAAATCATCTTAAATATCACAGAACATCTTGGAATTTTTGAAAATTCGACATCTATAAGAAATTAATCACGATAACTGAAAATCTAGAAACGAGTCGCTTATAACTTACTTTTCTTTTAATTATTTTTATCAACGACGACATCATATATAGAAACGTACCATCCGAAAGAAACATTGAAAAAAAAAGAGAGGAAGTCTCAAAATTTAACAAATTAAAGAGGGCCTTGTAATTGCTTCAAAGCCGTCGAAAAATTACCACATGAATGAATAAGACTCTAATTATTGGATTAGATCTAGCAATCAAAGTTACAAACACAAAATGTTGATGGGACATTAGGTGAAGTTTTTTGACAAGAAGCATCGGGATGAAGTCCACCGTAGATTGCCTTACACTTCCCTAAACAACAAGCTTGGTCGCAGCTACCGTCGCATATTCCGACGCTCGTCGTGCACCTACTCGATCGTCCGGCGACGAAATTGGTGTTGCTTCCCACTGCAATTATATATTTGCCACAAATAACAACCGTTAATGTTTTGCATAAAATCAAACTCAACCTTAATTACAATGGTAGGAAATTGTTTATAAGTATTTATGCATATATCGTCCTGTTTATCGAACTAAAATTTGTTGAGTTACTGAATTAAAAAATCAATTAATTTACAACATGACACTAAAAATAAGGGAAAAGGAATTCCTACTCATTGCCAAGATGAGAAGAAAGAGGAAGTAGGAACTTAATAGGGATTGACGAGCCATTTAGTTTGTTGATGATGATGAGAAATGGGAATAAAATGTATAGCAATGAACTACTTTTGTGGCCCTTTGTTTTCGGCTGTGAAATTTTGCTTTATGGCACGACTAATTTATAGGGTGATGCACAAATAATGGAAAACCTATTAGGTTGATTCTAGAATTTAACTGCATTAAAAACATTGATGTTATCTATTTTTAATTACTAGGGGCAGTGTCAATTAATTGCTTGCATATACTTACCATAGTCCATGACTAAAGATTTTGTTACTATATTTTGACAAGGGGCAGTATTTAAATTTGCTAAAAATAATCGATCACAAGTTAAGTTCATACTATTCTTTGGTTTTTAATGAAATTACTGTTAACAATTTTCAAACAAAATACACCCTTTATTATTATATAGAGGGTGATTCAAGGAACAAATTAAAAGCATTAAAAACTTTGACATTCTATCTGTCTCGTAAAAATAATTCACATCATAAATAGTAAATTATTAATCCTTGGGGAGTATTATTTATTTTTACCCGTGGCAGTATATAATTACTTACCATGAATAGAAATTTACTTTTGTATTTCCATCAAAGAGAAAGCCATACATTTAAAATTTTGTAAGAGAAAAAAAATGCAAATATCTCTTTTTTTCTTCTAATTTCTTCTTCAAAGCTCAACATCATCACCCAAATGATATTTGATCTCAGTTCTTGTAAGAGATTCACGTAGAACTTTACAGATTTGTAAAGTTAAAAGTAGATTTGATCTCAGTTCTTGATTTTTAAATGTTAAAGATTTCAAAAAAAAGCTCACCCTTAATTGTAACGAACCCTAAATTCTCATCACGAATAGAGAAAATATACAAATTTTATTAAATCTTACTACCATCTATGTTGAATAAAAGTATAATAAAATTTTAAAATTAAGAAGATTTAAATTAAACAGCTCTGGTTCTGCAGTGCAACAAATACAGTTAAATTAAGAAAATGTCAAATATCTCTGGTTTTAAGTTTTACTTATTTGAAAATTCATTTTTTCTCAGAGTACCAAAACTGTTTTGAGATTGGGGGAAAACCCCAAGAAAGGTCCCGAATTACTGAAACGAAAGGCGCGCGTTTAAGTCTAAAACTACCATTAAAAGTTTTTTTCCTTAATTTGTGAGTGTTTCATGTTGGATGACTATTTCCTAGTTCTTACCAAATGTTTAATTTTATTATTAATCGTGATAATGTTTATGAATAATTTATATAAAGTGACTTTAAAGTATTTTCCGGGATGAAAACGGAGTCGGATCCATTCTTAAACCATTTTGCTTTGAGAATTGATACCTGTTTAATTCAGTTTGGGAGAGTATACTGACTTTAATTAATTAATTCATTTTTTTTTTAATTTTTAAATGCTAAATTTTAAGAAAGCTTCATTCAGAAATCTATATTTTTCTGATAAAAAAAAAAATCAAATAAGGTCTCTGCCTCGGACTCTCTAGACTCCTCTGGTCTCTATCGACCGAGTGAACATAATAAAATAAAAAAAAACCTGATTCGGAATTAATATTGAAATTTGAAGAATGGAAACATTTGATGTCTCTCAATTACAATCATAAGTGCAAATACAATTATTGGTTTCCTCGGTACAAATTGCTGATGGATTCTTTCCGGCAAACGTATGGTTGCAATCATCGTTGCAACAATTCCAGTTACATCCAGTCCAATCACATTTTCCCACTGTTGTTTGACATTTCTTTGCCTCTACAACAATTGTTTGAGTAACTGCACCGCCAACACAATATTAATACTTTGTCAATACTCAATACATTATTTTTTTTTTTGAAAAAAAAAGAAAAAGAAAAAGAAGGAAGAAAATAGCATTTATCGTTTTTTTAACATTTATGAAATTGAAAAACAAAGTTGTAGAGGGAAATGACTCTATAATCTACATTTGAATAATTCAGACCTTAGAAGAAAACTATAATATGTACTTTTACCTGAAGAGAAGACGAGAAAAATTACGGCAAAGAAGAATATGAATGAGATAGTGCTTGGGTTTTGTTTTCGTTGGAGAGATGAGAGGATTGCCATTCCTGAGAAGAACCACCAACTCCAATTGTTTGTGTTGGTTCCCTACGCACATTTTGCCAACTATTTATGCGAAAAGTTGGAACCTTTTTCTTGGAAATGTCACAAATTAAATTTATTAGGCAGATTTTTTGTAGATTATTTCTCTTTTATGTTAGTACTACAGACTTTGGAAAGTCATCAAATATTTTCCTTCTTAGTTTATTAATTAATGGCATGTGATTGTAAGTATATTATGAGCATGAATTTACGAAATTCTGTCCATTACGGGAAATTAATGTGCTTTTCTTTTCTTTTCATTTTTTTTCCCCTTAAATAACCCAACTATGGCGATGAAACTTGATGCCACAACCTGTTGAGAAGTGCCTCAAAGGCGCCTTGAATTTTTTTTGGGTAAAAATATAAATATATTATTATACCAACGGTAGACACCCTCCAATATGAGAAAAAAATTATATATCACAAAAGTGGCCTGTCATATATTTATGTACTTCCTTGCCTAGCGGGCCTAAAAGAACAAAATGAGTGGGGAGTAAGAAGACTTGTAGAACCACCGCAAGCGGTGCGACCATGGTTATACCATGATATCA